CTGTGGCAAGCGGGCAGAGCCCCCGGGGCTCCCTGCGAGGCCGGGCGCCTGTGGAGCCGCCAACCCCGCCGGGGGCTCTGGCGGAGCGGAGCCGAGCCCAGGCCCGGCCCGGCCGGCAGCAGACGTGGCAGCCTCCCTCCCCCCCCCCCGGCGGTACCTGTTGCTCCAGATGCCGTAGAGCAGCTCCACGAAGGCGAAGGAGAGGTTGAGGCAGAGGAAGAAGAAGAGGTTGCGGGAGGTCCTGTCGGCCAGGATGGACCTGCGCGGGGACACGCGGCGCGTCAGGGCGGGGGCCTCGGCCACAGCCCCGGCCTCACCCCCCCCCCCCCCCACCTCCCCGGCCCTCACCTGAACCAGCCCGACGCCTTCCGCAGCAGGTTGAGGCGCGGCGGCTTGTACTCGTCGTCCTTGATGGAGAGGGGCAGCATGGTGCGGGGCGGTGCGGGCCGGGCACGGCGGGGCCGGGAGGGGGCCGGGAGGGGGCCGGGAGGGGGCCGGCGGGGCCCGGCAGCGCGGCGCAGCGCTCCCCGCCCCTCCCCAGCCCCGCTTCCGGCCCCACCGCGCATGCGCACCCCGCGCGCTGCCGGGGCTGGCGCCGCGGCCCGGGCCCTGCAGCGGGGCCTGGCGGGACGCAGCGGGGGGGGCCGGCCCCCTGTCAGGGTCATTTCTGTTCAAACAGCAGGGTGGAAGCGCCGCGCCTCGGCTCACCGTTCTCATTTCCCTCTGTCTGGGTCTGAAGAGGTGCTCGCTGCAGGTGGGGTATGTTTGCGGGCAGCGGCACGCTGCAGGTTCATAACTTGGTTGGTAAAAGCGGCGGGACTGTCACGGCTGGGTGGCAGCTGGGGGAAGAGCGGTTGAGGCGCACCTTTATGTGAGGCGCACCTTTATGTGAGGCTCACCTTTATGTGAGGCTCACCTTTATGTGAGGCTCACCTTTATACGAGGCTCACCTTTACAAAATCACGTATGACCAAGCAGATACGGCCAAGATATGCTGGAGTTAAGAAGTGCTGAGCAGCTCCTGCTGCTCGTCCATCCTCTTTACCAGTCAGGCATGACCTGAAATGAAGCAACCAAAACCAGCGATTAATTTCTGGAAACAGCTTCAGTGACTTCGCTAGCATCACAAAATAAGTCAGGGATAAAACTGGGACTCAGACTTACGCAGCTTGCTTAGGTTGCTGTCCTGCATCTTGTGCATGCTTCCTTTTTGTGCTTACACTTGTATTTGCCTTCCCCTCTCTACCTGACAGACCAGGTAGTTCAAAAACACCAGGTGTGCCTCTGATGCAATTGGTAAGCTGTGTAAAGGAAAGCTTGAAGGGGATGAGCCAGAACAGATCTGTTAGCAGGACTACTTGCTTGACTATGGTAGCCAAATGATGCATTTTAGTGCTGATTGGTAAACTTTGTAATGGAGCGTGAAGTTCTGCAGACCTGCTTGCATCTCTGCCTGACCCTAAGGACAGAATACAGAGATGTTGCCGTAGTGGGGGGGGAATGCTGTGTTTTCTTTCTAAGCAATTGGTTTAATATAATAATTTGTTCCTGGAGATTTCATTGAAAGGCGGAGATAATTACTCAGCGAGCAATAGCAAAAGGGATTGGATAATTGCCAAGAATGTGCACATAAATTGGTAATCAACAGGAATGTTAATTTACAGAAAGATGGTGGTAGCATGTGGGCTAACTTTTGATCTTCAGTTATAGACTCCTTTTACTCTCCATCAGATTCAAGGATCACAAACGACTGTCCTTCTGTAAAAACAACAGGGGAGAAAACAATCTTACCTGGCAACAATGAGGTAAGTTGAAGGGTTTTCTAGACTACGTAATTTATATTCGTATCTTCAAGCACAATATATGAGCTTTGGGGGGTTGGAAAAATCAAAGCTTCTGTGAAGAAACAGTCTGTCAAAAATTTTAATTGATAAGACTGTCCTGCATCGTTCAATTTAACCGGAGTTTCCAGCTGAAAGCCTGGAACATACTAATGGAGTAACACCTGATATTTGTAGTTGAATAACTACTTAGCAGTAAGCTTAGATTCTTTATCTTTTATCCAGTGCATACCCATCTTGCTAGTAGAGAGAAGGAACAGGTGTGGATCACACATCATTTGAAGTGCAGCCCATGGAATGCAGCGATCAGTAGATCTCGCTGACATTACAATTTATAAAGGTCTGGAGAATTGGGAATACTGCTCAAGAGGTGAAAATCAAGGCTGCCTTTGTAGGAGCTGCTTTGTAAGAGCTCCCACTTAGTTCCAAAAGCAGGAGGATCCAGAAACCCCTGCCTTATATTAGGCTGACCCCCGCACCCCAACCCTGCAGTTAGCTAACACACAGCACCTAGCCTCTGACGCCTCCAGTTTCTGCTGGATTCTGGATTTCAGAACAGCTGCTTCTGATGTTCCCACATCCCTACACTGCTTCATCTGGCACGATTCTTTTGCCCTACCTGTACGACAGCTTCAGTTAGTATCATCAGAACCGTATTTTCTGCAGTCTGTGTACTGGAGGAGGCACCTTCTCTCCCTTTTGTTTCACAACTAAGGCAAGGCTCCTGCAGTGCTGGAAGTACAAATTTGTTTTCTAATTTTACCTGGATGAATTTGGTGTGTAAATGCTCACTCAGAAACACTGTACTGAGAAAATAAGAGATGGTAACAATATAGAGTTAAAGAATTAACCTAAGTTAATTTTTGGAAAATGAGGAAATTTAGAGTTAACCCAAAAAAGCAGAGGTGAAAAGCATGTCAACGTCAGAAACCGGGTACCAGAAATATCTGCCGTGATAGCTGAAATTAATTGCCTCAGGTCTTAAAATCCTCCTTACGTATTCACTCATTTATTTACTTAAACAAAAGTTTATTTAATGCTATGGGAGTTTTGCGCAAGCAAGGGAGGCAGCTGTACATGGGATTAATAACTTTTCCTTTCCTGTTACTTGTTTTAAAGGTGTTCACACTTCTGTAAACTTCCAGGACGAGTTATGGGCATCCGCCTACTACGCTTCACTTCCGTGGTGATCATTGTCTTGCTTCTTGTGGCGGGTGCTTTAACAGCTTTGCTTCCCAATATCAAAGATGACAAAATGCCCAATTTGCGGAGGGAACCAAAAGCCCAGAGTCAGCCTACCTTGGATTCGTTTACTCTTATTATGCAGACATACAATAGAACTGACTTACTGCTAAAGCTTTTAAATCATTATCAAGCCATCCCCCATTTACATAAAGTGATTGTTGTGTGGAACAACATTGGTGAGAAGGTACCAGAGGAAATGTGGAATTCCTTGGGTCCTCATCCTGTCCCTGTTGTCTTTAAAGTTCAAGCTGTAAATCGTATGAGGAACAGACTCCAGAATTTCCCCGAGCTGGAAACAAAAGGTAATCAGCAGTTCATATTACTACTACTATTTTCATACTCAAAATCTGTATTCTGAAGAGAGATGGTTTGAGTTACACTGTGTAATGAATCCATGGGAACTGTTGGGCCACTTAATGCAATGTAGGTAATACAGAAGGAACCTGTATTATACTATTAGATGCCCATCACCACCAGAAGCAGCAGGCTGGAAGTTGTCAATTAAGAGTAAGAAGAATAAAAAAAGATGTCAAATGCATCTCATAGGCCTTTGCAACTTCGTTCTCCATTTGCTTTGTCTAGCAAACATAGGGAGTTCACTGAAATTCATAGTGCACATATTTGTGGAGTCTCTGCATTTTGTCATAAGCTATCTGATAAGACTTGATTTAATTCATGATTTTAAGACAAAGTTCTCAAGCATGTTCTGCTCTTCAGAGAAACTCCCCTCCCTAACTGTCCAGCTTTCTATCTCAAGTCACACATACTTTTTAATAATATTTTCCCAAGTCTTTGGCTATTCATCTAAATATTCTTCCTAAGCTCTTTCCAGGAGAAGCACAACAATAAGTCCTGTTTGTTTCAAGTGGAAAAAAAACACAAATGTTGCATTACAGACCTGATCTTACTCATGATTAGTAAAGGTAATTCTATTTACTGCCCCTTACTAACAAGCCTTGCTACTCAAACCATGAATTACAGGCAGACACTAGAAACTTCAGCTTCCCCAGCGTGTTTGTTTGTTTGTTTTACTGTGATAGGATTGTGCTGAATGTAAAAATAGCAGCCTTAATGCATCTGGAGTTCTGATATAATTTTTCATTATTTTCTGATAATGAAATTTTCTGATAATTTTCTTTTCCATTTTCTGATAGCCTTTTGCCTAAAATTTAAGGCAAAGATTTTTCGATCATAGTTAATTGCGTTGGCATCATTCAATATGATTTATTAGGCTTGCTTACTCAAACTTGGAAGTAGTGAGATGGGTAAAATTTCACACTGAAGAAAGGTATAAAGAATTTTAAGTATATGAGATTTAATTCTTTTTAGTTGTATTTTACACAAGGTTATTAGAATCTGAAGTTGCATTGTGAAACACTCCCAAGTTTTCCAACGATCTGTCCAGCTGTACTACAGATGATCAGAGGTTCCTGAGTTCTGTTGTAGTTTGGCAAATACTCTAAATTTTAGGTTTTCATCCAGTTATTACAGAGCTGCAGCCTTGCTTCAGCTTTGAAATCTAAGTATGTTTTCAGAATTTGCTTTCAAGGAGTTACGATACAGGTCTGCAACTTAGCTAAATGGTTGTAGAAGTTTCACAGCCAACTTGTCAAATTCTGTACTGCATACTGTGCCCATGTATTTTAATCCTTTGCTAAGTTAAAAAATTGTTGTTTTTTTTTTTTCCTTCCTTCAGCTGTTTTAATGATGGATGACGATACACTAGTCAGTGCTCATGACCTTGCTTTTGCCTTTTCTGTTTGGCAGGTAATGTTTTGCTCCTTGGCAGGCAGTATTTATGAGTTACAAATGAGATTAATGGTTTTAATTAGAGTAATACTATATCACAGTGTTCTACCGTTGTTTTTCTAGCTGTAAAATTAGATTTTAAAAGGATTGAAACATTGAGTAATAGAAATTGCCAAACTGTTCGTCAATATTAGTTATACCTGTAGTTTGTAACTTTCAGATTTTTAACTCTTCTTGTACATGAACACAGAAGTTGCCGATTGCTGAATTTATTTAAGTTGTTAGTAGGCTGCAAAACAAAAAAAAATGAGAGGCTTTAGTTTTTCTGTATATCTAAGAGATTGTCTGTAAAATTTGATTTTGTGCCAAATTTACAGCTGCAAATAGAGAACAGATGTTTGTTAGCGATATGTGATATGGAATGAGGCATATTGGGTTAAGTTTGCAAAACTGTATTTAAGCACAGCATTTCTGTAGATCAAAGGAGCATATGCCAGCAGCTGCGTTCGCTGTATTTACTGGCAGTAATCTTATGCTCCTTTAATTTAAAAAAAAAAAAAAAGAAAAAGCGTAAGTTTTTGTGAAAGATGTATAACATCACAGTGTCACCTTCATTTTAATTTCTTTTTAAATTTCTTTTTTACTTTCAGCAATTTCCAGAGCATATAGTGGGATTTGTTCCTAGAAAGCACATTTCTACTCCTTCAGGTGTGTACAGTTACGGCAGCTTTGAATTGCAGAACCCTGGATTTGGAAATGGAGATCAATATTCTATGGTTCTTATTGGTGCAGCATTTTTTCATAGTGGGTATTTAGAAGACTTTCAAAGACAGCCAGAAGCTGTTTATGCCTTAATAGATGAAACTCAAAATTGTGATGATATTGCCATGAATTTTCTGGTAGCAAGGCATACAGGGAAGCCTTCGGGAGTGTTTGTGAAGCCTGTTGATATAAGAAATTTAGAAAAAGACACTAACAGCGGCTACTCCGGAATGTGGCACCGAGCAGAGCATTTGTTACAGAGATCTTACTGTGTAAATAAACTGGTAAATATTTATGATGGCATGCCTTTAAAATACTCTAATATCATGATTTCTCAGTTTGGTTTTCCTAACTATGCCAATCACAAAAACAAAATGTAAGCCAATGAATTTAAGGGGTTAGATGTTAAATAATCCTCAGTGAATTGTACTGAATGCAAGGAGAGAAGATGCAATTACTGCATCTTGGCCATCCTTAACTGTAGCCTCCAAATTTTTTCCATACAGCTTTTAATTTTTATTTTTTTGTCCCCCTTTCTTATTAACCACCCAAGGAAATTTTTTGAGAAAACCTTAAAAATAAATACTAATGTTCAGTTATAATAAAATTATCCTCTTTCCGTCACCTGAAAAGCATTTACAATTAGGACAGTTCTCCAGAAACATGCAGACAAAAATGCACTCCTACCCTTAATGTTCATGATTTATTTATTTTTTTAATATACGTATCTAGTCAAATGAGGTTGAGGAATATTTTTGATAGTTACATGTTTAGATGCTTCCTTTCCCTCTCGTCCTCCAAACAGTTCCCAGTGAAACTATACAAGGGCTGCAGCAAATGGCTGGCAAGGCTCCTGTACAAAATCCTTTCAAACGTTGTATATAAGCTATTATTCTGTATTCTGAGATGTTTCTGAAGCTGCTATGAAACCAAACCAGAAGAAGAGTACCCCACCTTAATCTGAGATAGTTCTAAAACCATTGCCTACAATAACTGCTCCTGCTGAGATAGTGGAAAAATGATCTCTGTGATATGGCTTTTTTTCCTATTAATAATTTGCATAGAGTTGCTGAAATACTGCAAACAGTTGAAAGGTAAAACCTAGCAGTAGGAAATGTACAAAAACATGAATGAATAAAATACAAAAATTATATATGCAGGGAAGCAAAAGAAAACAATGAGATTGTCTTATTAATACTCTCTTGAGTACTTAGTTTTTTGTTATATTGCATGTGCATTGTTACAAAAATGTTCCCAAGAAAATTCTCACTTTAAAAAAATAATAATATTTACAGTTCTTGATGAGAGGAAGCTGTTCTACATTTATTCCAGAGTGTACATTTTGTAATAGTACAGATCTGCTTTTTTTTTTTTTTTAACTACTCTTTCAAGTGAATGTTTACTCTTTGGTTCCTTTCATCTCTGTTTTTGGTAGCTCTAGCAACCGAATTAAAATGTACAATGAGTGGGTAAAACACTATAAAAAAAGTGTTATAAACTACAGTGATGTGGCAGGGATGGACTATTACCGGTCTCTGAATTATGTGGCCTCAGGCAAGAAACAGCTATTATTAATAGCTTTTGTTACATTGGGACTCTAGTTTTGGAAATATTATGTTAACATAGGACAAACCTGTTTTCAGTTAGCTGCTCAGCTGAACAAAAGCAATGTTTGAAAAATGTAACAAGTTCTTTACAGCTGATTCTGAACATGGAGTCTGGGTTTCTTTGGGGGGAGTGGAGGACTCTTGTCTTGTTCTATCAGTGTCAAAGGATTTGTTTTATGGTCAGTGAAGTCTTCCTAGTACTTTTTGTAAGTTTTAAGGGGTGAAATCTTAATATGGCAATGTAAAATCTGTTTCATTTCCTTGTAATAGTGAAAAGTAAACTTTAATTACTGTGCTGTAGTGAGAAGTAGTATCCAAATAGATCTATGACCTTTCCGGAAATGCAACTTTCATAGAGGTAACTTACTGCATTTCATTTACTTTATAGTTCATCTGTAATTTCTGTTCTGTGCAGTATTAACTGAAATTGTGAAGAGTCACAGATACTGTTTACCTTACTTTTAAAATGTAAAGTGAACTGTCAACTGAGCCAAATCTTAATATTGGGTTCTTTGTTGGGAAGAAGGGGTTGGTTTAGAGCTTTTTTATTTTTAGCTCTTTATCAGTGAAGGAATTAATCGAACAAGCTTTTATTATACTTGTAAATTTAATTTGTACCATTGTCAAATAAAAAATATAAACAGATTTGTTATGTATTTATTTTCGCATTATTGACCAAGTTTTCGTTGTTAAATGTCTAAAGTAAGCTCACAGTTTCAATACAGATGAGCAGTACTGATTCTTTTAAAATACCCTAGGTATTTGTTGACGCATACTTTCACTTAATTTAGGTAAAGTTCACATAAAGGGGTAAAAAAGACATAATAAAACCAGAGCAGTAAGCAGTTAGTCTTAAAAAAGCAAATTCAAAGATTGGACTTCAAGTTTAGCTGTAATTCATTTTGTTAGGAACCAAAGGGGTTTTGTTTTTAACTTGTTTGTTGGTAACTACAAATAATGTGTTTGTCCGTTGATGGTTATAAAAGTGCCTTGGAAGTCTTTGCTCAAATATATTACTGAACATTTAATTTATATTCTAACAAAATAATTTGTATTTGATAAGTTCTTCTAGGAGATTACCTAGATGTCACTTGGAAATATCTTGGAGTCTAAACAGATTCATCACTATGTCTGAATTTTCTGTAGAAATTCGTGTTTATGCAATATAGATTATTTTTTTAAATGGTGTCTTAAGATACATATTTAAGAAATACTTGTAAAAAATCATTTTTAATTTAAGGAGAAGTTGGTTTCTTAAAATTACATTTTTAAAACAGGATATAGTCCTAAAATTATATGAGAGGAGTAAAAAAAATTGCTGCTTTACCTACAGTTAAAATAAAGGCCACAAGATGTCACTGTCACCTTGATACATTATATCAAACATTAAAAAGTAATTGGAATAATTATAATAAGAAAAAAATGACATGAAAACATTCTGAAAGTATGTTAAAAGGTGTAAGCCTACTGTAAAAGCTATGAGAAAATGCTGGAACTGAAAAAAAAAAAAAAAAACAACATGGAGGGTGTTCAGTATATTTTTACAGGAGGAAGAAAAAGATTAAGTATTTTCTATGCTCAGGGTTCTAGCTAACTGCCACTAATGAAAAGCTTGTATGCAGCCAAAACATTTGTTATCTCGCCAAAGGTATGTAAGCCTGCATACAATTTTTGAGAGGTGGGCTTCAGTTTCCAGTCATGTATGCATTCTAGATATACTAACCTAGCTAGATATGTTTACAAGGAACAGGCTTAAGCATAAACTATCTAGGGATTCTAGATACTGGGAATGTAGCTTGTTAAACAACTCCATCTTTGCTTCTGTTGCCCAAGATACCTTAGTTAAAGCTAACTTGAGACTGCTCATGCATGTTCCCTTCAATGTGGCATGCACCTAGAAATGTGTGTTGCATTGGCCTGTAATGAAAGTTTGAGTAAAAATAGTCTATGGTTTTGGATATATTGCCCCACAGAGAATTTCTACTCCAAGACATTGCTTGTAAATAAAGAATTGAGTATTTGTTTTAATTACAGGTAAAAATACAAGAGAAAGCCGTATAGAACAACATAGATGAACACATTGATTTCCATGGAAAGCAAATACCCTCCAGCAACCTTTATTTAATGTGGTGTACTGAAGGCTACAGTCTCAGTCTTGCAATTATGTTGTACAGAATAGTACTTACTAGTAAGAAAGAAATTCCTTGCTTCAGCTCATAGGAGCAGACTCAAAGAGAGTGATACGTAGGAATATTAGTTCTGGAGCTATTAAAAAAAAAAAAAAGGAAAAGAACAATGTAAGAATGCAGGTACAAAGTAATTCGAACTGATACCAAAAATAAATAAGCAGCTACAAAAACAATTACTTGAAAAAGTGTTTTCACTTCAGCACTTTTAAAGTTTTTCAGTATCATCCTGTGCTTATGACACTAGATTAAAAACAGAAGAGTCAAAAGCATTTTACACCCCTGTTTAGCCTCATCTGCAAGCACACGAAATATCAGTGCGTGAACTGGGCGTGATTCAAGGTTCTGTTATGAGAAGATGGGGATAATAACGTGGACCTCAGAGCTGCATATTGCATTATTACATCTTTCTGAGGTATTTCAACATTTTTTTCTCCTCTGGGGAGGAATAGCATCATTTTCTTTAACAGATCACCTCACTTTATTACCTTTTTTCTTGATTAGGTGTGAGAGGGAGGCGAGCAGCCTGCTCTATTTGTAAGTGCTCTATTTGGCACTTACAAGTCCTTTCGGAAGGGGTGGGTGGAAGAAAGGCAGTTTTAATGCTTTTAATGCTTCTGTTTCTTTGTCGGGAGGTTAATTGCAGCCACCAGCCTAACTCGGATTTTCCGACCCAGCCTTTCCCCACTAAGCAGGAAGCCGCGGGTGCCTTCTGGCCGCGTTACCACAGCCCTGGCAGCGCACGTGGGACGCTTCCCCGCTGCTTAACCCCTCGGTAACTTCTCGGGGAGCGCCCTCGGCTCACCCCAGCGCCTGGGCCGCTCCGGGCCGTGCCCGAGCCCCGTGTCCGGGTCCCCCGCGGCCGGGCGCCCCCCGCTCCCCTCAGCGCCGAGGGCGCGGCCGCTGGCGGGAAGGCGGCGCCGCCGGGGCGAGCCCCGCTCGGGGGGCGTGCCCGGGAGCGGGGTCTCCTCAGCTCATTGGCCGGAGGGCTGGCAGGGCGGCTCCGGATTGGCGGGGCTGCCCGTCCATCAGGCCGGACGGCGGAGCGGGGCCGGGACCCCCGCCACCGAACGCCCCAGCCCGGGCAGGGCGGCGCCGGCCCCGGTTCTGCCCGCCCCGCCCCGCCCCACGGGGCCGTTCCGCGGCGGCAGCCCCGGGGCAGGCGGAGGAGAAGGAGGAGGCGCCGCGGGGCGCCCGGGGCCGGCGCGGACAAAGGCCCCGAGCCGCTGTTGCCAGCGCGCCGCCGGTCGCCTGGTAACCGCCCGCTGCCTCCTCATCCGGGGGCAGCCCCGGGCGGGGGGCGGAGCGGAGCCGCGGTCCCCACGGGCGCTCTCCCCCCCCCCCCCCCCCCCCTCCCTCCCTCCCGCCCGCCGCGTCCCGGAGCCGCTCCTCGCCTCCGCCCCGGTTCCTATGCGGCTGGCGGCCCCTGCGGGCAGCCCCTGCGGGCAGCCGGCCCCCTGCCAGCCGCAGCGTCCCGGCGCCGCCCGGGGCCGCCATGAGCTCGGAGCCGCCCCGCGCCTCGCTGCTCCGCGCCCTCTTTAAGATGGAGCCGCCGGCGGCCGCCGCTGAGGTGCTGGGGGGAGCCGCCGAGATCCTCAGAGGTGAGCGCGGCCCCCCCCGGGCTGCCCCCTGCTCGCGGGGTCCCCTCCCCTGCCCCCCGGCCGTGCTGGGACCCCCCCACCCCCACCCCCGCCCCGGGGTCCGGTGCTAGCGCAGCCCCCGCCTGTGTTTCAGACCGGCTGTACTTCGCCACCCTGCGCAGCAAGCCCAAGAGCACGGTGAACACCCACTACTTCTGCACGGACGAGGAGCTGGTCTACGAGAAGTAAGTGCCGCCGTCTGCTGCCTTGTGTGTGCCGGGGGGAGCGCTTCTGAGGTTTTCTGCGGGGTACCGCCACCCCCCGCCAGCTGCCTCGGTGAAGGCTTGGTGTAAGTTAGCCTGGACGTGTGTGTAACCTATCTGAAACTAGCTTAACTTTGTTTTGTTTAAAACAGAAATATATATATATATATTTAAAAGCTCACAAAACCAGTTAAATCCTAGTTGGCCTAGGGTAAAATAGTTGAGCTTCATAAGATTGCTTTATAAGGTGGAAAAGATCTCTTAGATTAATTACACCTAATAAACAGTGTCTTTAATAGAAGGCTTCCATATATTCACAGAATCACAGAATTTCTAGGTTGCAACCTCTGACCTAACACTAACAGTCCCCACTAAACCATATCCCGAAGCTCTACATCTAAACGTCTTTCATACTACACAAAAGTTTTTTGCTGCGTGTTTTCCTTTATCAAGCGTATGAAGTGATCCCCTTTCACACAGAATCACAGAAAGCAGAGCTTAAATCTTCTTTTGAAGAACATCTGCAACTTATTTTAAGGGTTTTGATACAGCACTTCCTGTTGGCTTTTGGAGCTTTAGAACAGCAGAGGAAGTATTCTGTGAAGTTAAAGCCTCGTGAGTTTGGAAGACTCTGACAGCGTGTAGAAGGGCAACAGTTAAACTGAGCGCAATTAGAGTACTTCTAAGAGACATGAAATAATTACACTGAACAAATAAAGTAATAGCCCTACGCTGTGGTTACAGAGGTGTCACTGTACTCTGTGTTCCCAGCTCAGCTGCTCCTTGCATGATGGCAGCTATAGCTGCTTGACAAAGGGTTGCTGCAGTACCGAAACTTTTCTAGTGGAACAAGAAAAAGTTCTAGTCATATCTTTAAACGTAACTTTTTTTTTTTTCCCCATGTGTTGAAAAACTTATGAGCATCAATTGCATCCTACGCCAGTGACCTCAATGCTGCTTCTGTGCAGGTGTAAACTAATCATCCTTTGTTTCTAGCTTATCTTCTATGCAAATCTTACAGTACTGGGGTTTATTATCTACACACGTTTCTGACTCTTCATTGTCTTCAGTCTTCTAAAGGAATTCCTGATGATCCTTCTGCAAAGTTAACTTTTCTAATTTACTGTTTGGATTGCAAATACTTTCTGTAACAATCACTGAAGGAAACTAAATAAATATATTCCTTAATCTATGTGTCAATTAACCACACACCAGAATGTATAATAATACCATGTATATTTACAAGATAATGGAAGGAAGTCACATTTCCTTTATCTTCTAGGGCACATCTAAAGAATTTGGACATCTAATTTGTGGTATTTTTTTCTGAATCCATAGTTCCTAATCTATTGGCACCTTTTTAAAGGTATCCTCCATGTTTGATACAGAAACAGTACTCATCCTGTTGTGTTCTCCAATATTAAAACTTAATATGAAATAGAAACTAAGTGGCAGTTGCTGGGTGGTGTGAATGCATCCTGTATAGTAACCTAGCTCTCCTAGTGAAACAGTGCTAAGCTTTCTGTTGATACTTGTAACGCAGCATGCTTTGCTATCAGTTATGCAATAGTTGGTAGTAAAACCATATCTGATTTCAAGTTTTCTTCCCTCTTCTCACTCCCATCTTTAAGGAAATTTGTGTTCTTGAGGAAGTAAAAGCAGATGTTGGTAGGGTTACTGTTTTGTAGTTTTGTCAGTATCTTTCTGAAATTGGAAAGCTAGGGGCAAAGTGAGAGAGAGAATGCAAATCTGATAGTTCTTAGGGAATGGTGATTCTACTGTAGTTTCCCAGTCGTGTCTATCAATTTGATTATATTTGTCTGTTTTGTTTTACAGGCTACACAGTAAGGACAGGCCCTAACATCAGGAGTTGTTTTTAAGCAGTAGTAGAGTATAACTTCATACACCAAATCAGATTTCCTGCTAGCTTTCTTAAAAATGCAGCCTTTCTGAGGAAGAGAATAGAAATATTTAATTGATAACAAAATGAATATTTGGAAGTAAGCTTTGAAGAGCTGTAGCTCAGAACAGTGTTTTCTAGAGTCAAAATGGCCTGCCTGTGCTGGTCTTCACAATCAGAATTTCTTGTCCACTTCTGCTTTTTAATCAAATGAGTTGTTCAAATTGCTGTGTGGAAGAGATTTGTTATGTGAGTAGGAGACTTGTTCAAGTTGTTATGTGGGTAGATGTCCATCCAGATGCAAAATCCTCAACAGCTGTGAAAGAACTTTGTTAGCACAACCAATTATTGACTTAAGATGCATGTTATTGTGTCAAATATGATGCATGTTAAGGTGCATCATACTAGTGACTAGACAGATATTTCCCTGTGCATGGAAGTACACTGCTTTTCTTTGGGCTGTTTTTCTATTATCTTCAGCAGTAGCTCCCAAGCATGAAGTGTTAAATTTCCTTAGCTGCCTTTACTGGGGGCAGTTTGCTTTCTTTGAAGCAACATGTGATCTAAAAACCTCAGGAATATGTGGGTATGGGTTTGTTAGTCTGATTATAAAGAGCATATTACTGGATCACGTAGTAATCAACTTCCTTCCTGCTTCACTTCCTTTTTTTCACCTCCTCTCCTCAATCTTGATGAGACAGAAGGGAATAGTGTAAATTATTACTATGTGCGATTTATTAAAGAAAAGAGCGCTAGCACTGAACTTCATGGTTTTGGAAGCTTTGATCTTCTGAATGCTGACTTGCTCTTGTGTTTTATCACGTGATTTATCACTAGATTATACCCCAAATGTGGTTATGTAATCTTGAGTACTTTAGCTTTCAGTTTTCACTTGAAGTTGTCAACTGTTTTAATAAATTCATAACACGGTCTTATTTAAACATTCATACTTTTTTAAATTTCTAAAAGGACTTAAATGCACTTAGGAACATCTCAAACATTGGCTGACAAGGAACTCGCAGAACTGTCACTGCTGTAGTTAATGTGCTGCAATTTAACCTTGAACCTATCATGCTAGGGAAGAGTGGGTATGCAAATTTCTCAGTTAAGGGAACGAGAACCTGAATGAGTTGATGCAACTCTGAATTGTTAAGGTTTTATTCCCAGTTACTCTATTTCGGTAAGATTTTGTCAGTCTCTCTCTGAAACTCTGAGGTCCCTCCCGAGGAAGTCTGCATTACTACTTACAGGAAAATACAGTATTTCAGAGTAATATAGCACAGGTAACTACTACGTCAGGAAAATGGAGTTGATGAGAAATAATCCAGTTTGATGAAGACTGTTGTTTGGCAAATACACAAGCCTTGCTTGGCAAGACCTCAATTAGTGAGTTAGGCAAGAGTAAGAAGCTTTTTATTCTCTAAGAATAGTGTCTTTCATGCTTCACCTTTCAGTAAACAGATCTGGGTTAGGAATATTACACTTGACTGGTTAACTTGGCTTTCACATGTTTTTATCAAAGCAACTTTTTATGTCCTTTTTATTGTTGTGTAAATTCTCAGAAAACAGAAATAACAGTTCATTAGAAACTGGAATAGTATCTTGGTAAACTGTGCTGGCAGTTTGCATAAGCCATTATGTTTTTATTGGGTTATTTCTTCTAACTTCAAATCTTTTGTATAAACAGCATTTGCAGGTCCAGTCTGAAATTTTGTGATCAGCTTTAAAAGGAATAATATGACATTGTCTGTACAGCCAATGTCTTATACTGTGGGTTGAAAATTTTAGAGTGTTACTTGCCCACTTCCCAGCAGTCATTATGTTACATACATCTTTTGGTTAGAGCAGCCATAAAGTAAGACTTAAAGCTAAAATGTCATTTAATGAGTAATCTTTGTACTTTGACTTGTAGGATGCGTTTATGCAAAGAAGCAGTTTCTCTTTCCTGTGGTAAGAGGAAGGGTTAACTTACTTGACTGGTGGAAAATGCTTCTTTTCTATGGCTATCCAGTAACGGTACTTGCATAGGAAACCTGAACTTCGCTAGCCTGCTGTGGCTTATATCAGTTGAAAGGAAAAGAGAAAACTTAAACTTAGCCTTGTTACAACAAACAGACCTGTCACTTCACACAGAGAACAGGGAGTTCCTTGTTCATGTCAGAAGCCTATGAAGAGTTGAACTTCGCTATCAAATGAACAATATAACTTAATAAGTTGAAGTCCACAAAACCCCAAACAATACTTAATTTAAGGAACTTCCTAACTTGTTATCAATATGAATTTACATACAGAACAGAAAAACTTCATTATGGTAACATCAGCTTTTTACATCTAATTCTTACAAGTGACTATTAAGAATAGTACTGTAGCTTTGTTGTTTTCCATCTTAAATCGAGGGATTAAATTCAATGCAAACAAGAAAATGAGAAGATCTGGGAATATCAACTTCTGCCTAAGTTGTGAATTAATGGCATACCTTTATATTTGAAACTTGCTAAGTGCTGCCTCTCAACACCTGGGGTGCTCTCTCCAGTACAAACTAAATTTCATATGCAAGCATGTCTTCGTTTCACCAAGAAGCTCAAGGGATAGGAGCACTTCTCCTGTGAGGAGAGGCTGAGAGAGCTGGGGCTGTTCCTCCTGGAGAAGAGGAGGTTTGGGGGGATCTTATCCAAGTCTATAAACTCCTGAAAGTAGGATGCAAAAGGGACAGAGCTGAGCTTTTCTCAGTGGTGCCCAGTGCTGGGATAAGAGGCAGTGGACACCAACAGGGCCACGAGAGGTTCTGTTTGAACAGCAGGAAGCCCTTTGCTGTTTGGGTGGTGGAGCACTGGAACAGGTTGCCCAGAGATGTTGTGGATTTTCCCTCCTTGGAGATTTCAAAACCTGCTGTAGGTGTCCCTGCTTGAGCAGGGGTTTGGACCAGATGACTTCCACAGGTCCCTTCCAGCCATTCTGTAATTTTGTGATTCCCATGGAGAAGACAAAATAAACTGTCAAAAGCACTGAAGATATTTTGTTGTTTGTTTGCAGCAAGTGGGGCTGGAGTAGAATAACTTTTTTTTTTCTAGACTTCAGTTTCCTATTGGACAAGAGTATAGCTTAATATAGAAAACTGATGAAAAGTCTTGGCCTCTGATAAGAAGGCTTCTATTGTCTGTAGAGAGTAGGTTTCTAACATAATCTGAAGAATCTTCTATGGTCAAACTCTGCAAGAAGCTCTTCACTGATCCTATGTTCTTTGCACCAAGGAGCATTGTATGAAAAGCACGTGCATCTGGAGTGGCTATTTAATTATCTGAAACTTAGTGCTATGGTCTCTTCTTGGATTTTGAAGAGCCAGTATCTTGAGGAGGATTTGGAACAATGAAGGGGAAATAGACTGAGTACCTGGTGTTCTGCATAATCCAGACCCTCAGCATTATTCCTACATTCAGATGCAAGCAGTGGGGTGTTTATATCACTTCCAGGTATTCACTGTATCTTCCTTTGTCATTCAGAAGCGTGTGATCCTTAAGTAGTATTAAGCATTAGGGATTGTGCCTTGGCCCAGATAAAGCTGCCAGCAATTTACCCATTACTGGAACTGGTGGGGTTAGAGCAGGCAGCTTGTGCTATTGGGCATCCCACCTTCATTTGTGCACTTGAAGTGGGAAAAAGTAATGGGAGGAAAAAGAAACAGAATAGGTAATATTTCCTGACCGGCAGAGTTAGGCTGTACTGAATATGTGGATTAATCCTTTTGGCCGTCATCCAGAAACTACTGCACTTAGGCGTGTTCAGCTCAGGGCTTGGAGCCTTTATCTGTAGTACGCAGTTGGCCTCTTAGCCGGTGGCTGGTTCTTGTGCTACTTACTGGGAGCAAAGAAGACCTGGCAGGGCAGTTGCCTGAATGTTCTAGTACTGCAGGCGAGGAAAGGGGGAGAGAAAAGCAAGTGGATATACATATATACATGTATATCTCCCTCATTCTATTTTAGTCTCACTATTTAACTTTAATAGTAAGCTAAACAAGAATCAGGATCTTTCTACCATGCTTACCAATTAGTATAGTCCTGTATTTAGGAAATGACATTTCTACTAGTTCTTAAAGTCCTTAGAGTTAAATTTTTGGTTTGAATAAAAGCCAATTAGAGGTGCTCTTCTTTGGTAGAAAAAAACTTTAACACAGTTGCTCGTGTCCAAGAAAGCAAGCTTCTTACAGAAAGTCACCGTGCTCCAGTTCTGGTGAGCGTGCTCCAGTAAGTGATTGCGATCGCCGAGCTGTGTCCCTGTTCTCAAGTTACCAACTCAAAAACTGACTAAGCTGCTATGCAAGTAACATCATCCCCTCCGAGCATTATTGCCCTGTTAGGACTGACTTTGTGGATCTGTCCTATTATTTTTCCCCTATGATAATTAGGGTTTGAGCCATGTTCAGACTGTTGGGAGTGCCTGCTACTGGATGCCAGAATGTGCACCCACCCTCATGTTCAGGTGCAGTAACACTGAACTTACACTGAACTGGCATGGAGAAAAGAATCTTGAAATAGATCTTCTAGCAGCAATCTCCTTTCCTTTCATCTGTACTGATGTTGCCGTATCACAGAATTTGTGAGCAGCAATATAAAACTACTGCTCTACTACATTCATTTATGGGGCAAAAAGTTTGTGTTCACTATCAGGTTTCTAGGGTAAAATAGAAGCAGTTCAATTTATCTTTGAAAGATAACTTGATACCTTGACCATAAATAAGTTGATTGTGATGTTCATATGGAGGTTATCAGTTCGTTTCAAAGACTGTCTGGCTTCACTGACCATTACCAGGCTCCATCCAATACTTCAGGATCAGAAAGCTGCTTATCGCGCTGCTGCTGTGCTAGGGTCAGCCCTGTGCAAATACACAGTAAGAAGTAGCATGCAGCAGAGGTGCCTGAGGCGTGGCCTAACTGGTGGCACCTTCATGTGGCCTTGCACAGAACTGCAATCATGAATAAGTTAACTGTCCCAAAGAGTTCTAGACAATGTTTTTTTTTCATTATTAAATTCCTTGGAAGAATGTACTGGCATGCCAGAGTGAACTGATGAGCTCATTTGGGCTGGCCTTTCCAGGTGAATAGCAGTTCCTGGGTAACTAAGTAACTCAAATGATCTCCTGTAAGAACTGATAAGAAGGGGTGGATCTAGGAGTTGATTCTAAGGAGAATACAGACACGAGAAATCTATGGCTACTGCTCCCAAGTAGCATTATGTTAGCATTTATGAAGTAAAGTGTTTAAATATTCATATAGTATATTTGTGGGTTGTACCGTTACATGGTTGGAGAAGTATAAGGATAGTAAGTTTCCATGGGATGAGGGGGAAGAATAATTTAAGCTATCATCAAGGTATTTCATTAAAACAAAATATAATTAAATGTAGATTAATACTATACTTGCCTTCTGTTCTCATATCTGGTTCCCACCTCCGTAGCAAATGACTGTCTTAACTGGCTTAAGCTTCAGAGACATCCCAATGTCTTATTGCATTCAAATGCTTACAGAAACGTAGAGATACGTCTGGATATCCATAAAAGAAATATAAATGAACTAATATTGCGTAGATTGTTACCAGTGACTATCACTAATCAGATTTGATTTATTGTATTTTTATCTTTAACTTTTACCAGATAAAATTCCTTAATTTACAGGATGAGTTGGTGTGCTGTTTCTCCTCATCGCTATTCCATCCCAATTTCCCATCCTCCACTTATATTTCACTCTCAAAATTCTGTTCTTAAGAAGAAAATCCTCTGTCTGAGTAGGATCAAGTGTCTTGAATTCAAGGAAAAAATGGCCTTTTATACTAAAAGTAATGAGTGGATAAGACTGAACTCTTCTGTTAAAATTTATCAGAAATTGTATTTAGTTTTAAAGATAGAAGAAGAAGGGGGTTGTGGAACAGAGTTCATTGACTTCAGTACCGAGTTTTGTTATCTTTCAGGACTGTTTGATTTCAAGAATTGTGAAACACTTGTGTCACTTAGCTCCATTATAGACATTCAAGCTTATTCAAATTTAACAAAGTTAGTATAAAAAATTAAAATTATTTGTGTAGGAAATAAACTTTTTCCCTCATGCAACCACAACAACGGTGTATCAGTGAAGTCAGCTTGTTCATACTGCCTAGGTGGTGCTGGGCAAATGAACTGGGAGCTGACAGTGGTTCTTTTTGGTGTACGGGTAACAGTGGTGCACCACTCACCAAAAATACCCTCTCTTCCTGATTGTGTCTGGATTCTGAAAAGTATTAAATAGTGGTAATAATACCAGGGCGTTCAATACTGCTACTTTTTTTTTTTTTTTACTGTATTAAGAAAAGCACAGTGTACTTAGTAGTAAATGATGGAGAAGTAGTAAGTTTAAGTTAACTCTAGCTTGGCTCATGAGAGAATCTGAATAGGTCTGTTTTGTAAAAATACCCTGTTACTTCATGGATTGACTGAATAAATGTATCTTTTTCTTGCCTCCATCAAAACAGTAAGTAATTTGTCTGTCGTGTATAAATTGATTTGTAAATTAATTTTCATGTGTTTTTCCTGTGTTCCTGTTTGAGCTTAATCATGCTGAAAGGTAAAAGTAGATTATGTGAGTTCATATTGCTGTACTTATAGCAAATAATTAGTAATGAAAATTTATTATCCTAAAGCAGCATGGCTTTAGGTTTTCAGTGCATTATAACTGAATACACAGTTCATTTATCATTAGGCTGATCAGAGCTGTGTTATAGGAACTGTATGTTGTGCTTCATTTCATCTCAATTAAAAACTTAACGGAGAATATTTTTTAAAAGTACCTGTAACTGTTGACCATATCTGGCAGTCTTATCTTAGAAAAGATGTGGAATCTAAAGTCAGTCACTGCTTTATTGACCCTGAAATTTTCACTTAACTTCCGTGCCACCTACAAATAAAGTCCTGAGTTGGACAGCTTAGTCTTTGACCCAGCTAATGAGCTTCTGTATTTAAGCATTATGTCCTAATGTTTTGTACCGAAGGGGATGAACTGAATCTTAACAAGCACTTATATTATTATTTGATGCTGTACAGTGGATGATACTGAAATAACACTGTTCTGGCAGGCTGGCTGCTCCTTCTGAATGGCAATCAGGCTAATATAATTGTCTCTCTTTCACTGGGCTTGGTCTTTTTTTGTTTGAGAGGATATGTATGGGGGATGTTAATAAAGTGTTAAGCCTCAGAAGTATAGCTCTTAGGGTTAGCTACGAAAAGCACTGTGAATCCCTACAGGGAACCTTTATTTTGTAATAATTTTCCTGCATGGCCTGTTGCTATTATCTCTTATCCAAAAGGCAGCAGTTGCTGCTTCAGGGGTAATGAGAATGTTTGAGGAAAATCTAGAAGAAAAGAAGAAGAACAATGAAAAAATATTAATTAAATAATAAATTGAGAGAGCTTAGAGATGAGAGGACTAGGTGTCAAAAAGGAAACACATTCTCTGTAAAGGGTATATGTATAATATGTAGTCTCTGGAATAATGGAGGATGGAATAAAAGGAAATAGATTTCAATTTCAGAGAGATACCAAGATTGGACGTTATTAAATACAATTTCCTCTAAGCTGTAAAATTCTGCTTATTCTTCATAGCATCTAATGATACAGGCTCTATAGCTGATTGAGGTGAGGACATATCTAGAATGAGAGCAGCGTGGCTAAAAGGAGAGTAGAGCACGTCTTGAAGTCCTCTACTCTCCTTGTCTGTAGTCTTAGCCAAACCCAGACTGGATATGGCGAGAGTTAGCGTGTCTGCGCGTATAATGGAAAAGGTGGTTATTGCAGCACCTTAAACTGAAGCTACATATGCTTTCAAATTAATTGTTACTATTTTCCTCTTAAATGAACCTATATAGGGTTTTATCTAGTGCCATATGTATATTGTTTACTTTGTATTCCCCAAAAGTTACTCTTTACCAGTTTTATCTATCAACAACATGCATGCTGAAACTTGCTTAGCACTTTGTATAAATAACACATTTTTGTTCTTTTCTCCCAGTTTCTATGCAGATTTTGGACCTTTAAATTTGGCAATGTTATACAGATATTGCTGTAAACTAAATAAGAAATTAAAGGTAAGCTTCGTTTAAAAACAATGTTCCTATATTCTTGTGCTTTGAAACTCAGCTAAAACCTATTATTCAGTTTGAAAGCAATTATTAGGTTCTCATTATCTAGATAGTTGCAGCTAAGCTTTAAGGCTCTTCTTTGTTCTGAATTCTTTTCCCTCTGAAGAATGGAAGAAGGAATATGCCCTGATTGTTGCTTAGTGGGTGAGCTACTGATGAGTGGTTCACCATTTTTCATAACCTTCGTTTCATGACAAAATAGTAACAAGAAACAGTCTGGTTATATGGATACTTCATGGGTTTGCAGCGAATGAGTTGGTATGTTAGTATGAATAACTCAAAAACAAACAAAACAACTATTCCCCCCAAAAACAACCCCCACAAAAAATATTAAACAACTCCCTATCCCTGACCCCTTTGAACAAGAATAAAACAGACTCCAAAATCACGCTATTTAAATCTCACTCAATCAAAAAGTAAAACTTTGAAATCTTTCAGTTCAATAAAATGTTGCTTGTAATAAGTGTTACAGAAAGGTCTTTTACACATAACATTTTTTTTTCTGTAGTGACACTTTGTAGAGGTGTCACTGCTATCAATTCCTTTGTAGAAGCCCTCTTATTCTCCTGCTTCCAAATAAGGATTGTAGATTTAAGACAATTTTGAGTTGTTCTGCAGTTGAAATAGAAAACTTAGCTATCTTCCTTCATGGCAGCTTTTATTTTGACTGCAAAGTGTTTGTCCTGTCTCTATGAAGTAGTTGTCTAAAATCATATCAAAGGTCATATATTGTAATTGGAAAAAATATACAGGGGAGCCAAATTGAAACTGAATGAGTAACTCTGATATTTGCAGAGTTGGCTTAGTAAACCTTAATGTTATTTTAATGTAACTTTCATATTTTGGGGGAAAAAACAAACAAATAAAAAAACAACTCACAGTACAAGATGAAGAGTACAGATTGGCAAGAATGGAACAGAAATCTCATGCAGATCACCTGGAAAAGAGGTGCTGTTTATTGCTGCTACCTTACCACAGAGGAATTCCAAATAGGTTAACTTAAACTCTCTAATGTATAATAGAGAAGGGAGAAGGGTAACCTGAGAGTGCAACCACTTGTAAGTAATACCTGAAATCAAACAGCCGAAGCTTGGAATACCACCCGAGCAGTGTAGAAACTCTTGCATGAATAGATTTCAGCCTGCCTAATTGGCCCTATGTCTGAGATAGGCCAGTACCTGCTAATATGAACTTTGCTTCTCTGATAGTTAAAATACATGCCAGACTCTGTCCTAACTTACATACTATCTGCAGTGGGTAAGTAGACTTGAAAGACCTAATCCTAAGGCTAAGCATGCAACTGATTTGTACTGTAGATCTAGCTACAAAAGACTATTGCTCAGCTTTGCTAGTTGAGTTTCTCAGTTTCTACTCTTTCTGCTCTTCTACCTCTCACTTTCTCATGTCTGTCCTTCACAAGCCTCCCTGCAGGGACTTCTCCCACATGAGGCCTGAACTAGTGTGTGTATAAGACAGAAGTTTGTGACCTGTGACTTACCTGCTGGCAAGGCATTGATGCAGTGGGCAACTGTTGCAGCAGAAGTATGGTAATTCTCATGGGGCACCAGGGCGACACGTGGGCAGCCTGTGATCGATGTTTTTTTGGATGGGAAGTGCCTATTGAACTAACCACTGGGGGAAAGAGTCCTGTTTGGCAACCTGCTGCTTGCATACACTTGCATTAAAGGTAACCATGCTCTGGGACCAGCACAAGCAGTGGCTGATCATAGGAAGTTAAGACACTGTGGTTTATAATCCTCTGGAAATCCAACCTCTGCTGTTGGATAGTTGCTGTTGCTATATTGCAACACTCTCGGGACCCTGAGGCAATCACAGTGCTTAAGCCCAGGTGACTCCTGCTATGATTTGGTATGTACCTGGTTGGGTATACGCTGTGTGTACTTTTCTTATGAAAAGTTTTTAAAAGAAGTGTGGCACAAAAAATTATGCACTACATGTTATAATTTTTGTGTGGCCTTGGTACCACAAAAGGAATTTAAGACTTGGAAGGCTTTTCTTAAGTTTAAAATTTATATGAGTAGAAACAGGAAAAATGTAATAAGATCTCATTTAAAAAACAAAACCCCACAAATCTTTTAGCTGTATCTATTTCTTCTTTGGGAGAGGGATTAACCACAGAGGAGGCAGTTTTCTGCTTCCACCTCTCCTTTTTGGAAGAAGAAGGAAGCAGGTAAGGAGCGAAAGGCATTGCTGTTTGAAATGTACTCTATGGCAGACCAGCATTTTAAAGTAAACTATCATAACTTTATGCTGACTCACTTTAAAAATTGTGAATAGTTCTGTTCAGAAACACTGAAGGATTTATTCAAATATCAATTTTGCTGAGAAAGTTAGAGGTAAAGTACTAAAGTTATGCTTTACAGGAAAACCTTACTGACATTGTTTGTAATGTTTTGCTGATTGCTATGGAGATGATCTTGACTAGCTGAGTCAACAGCAAGAAAAAATGCTTGGACATGCGATCTTCCTACTTGTTCATTGAATCCTGTTTGGAAAAATGCTTGACTAAGAAATTACAATTCAATTCTGAAATTTATTTTTTCTTCAATTTAAATGTCCAATTTCATAAAACTATTTGAAAAACTACTGGGTTTCATGCACATACAACCTTATAAAACCACAATAAATTTAGAAGTGGGTAATTAGAGGGAAAGTTGCTGACAAAAATGATATGAATTATGGAAGATCAAAGGCAGGGGAGGTTTGGGCAGGGTTATGAACTGTGGGGTTAACAGTTCTCATATACTAACTGTGTTGTGAAATTGCAGAGGGTTCTGGGTTTTGTTTTTTGTTTTCAGTATAAATAACCTGCTGGTCATATACATGGAACTGTAGTAATTACAAACGTCTCCTTCAGGACAGCTTAGGTTATGAGGCAAGTCATAGAGACATTTTTTAATATGTGATTTTTTCATGCCCAGTTTGCAAGCATTACATTCACCGTTACACACACACATTTTAGTGTATATGTAAACAGTACTTACATTTATCCAGCTTTATTAAACACATTGCAGTAATTTCTTGCTGAACAATGCAAGTATATTAAACTATATCCATTAACTAAATTACTGTACAGTAACATGGTGATCTGGTGATTCTAAATAGGTATTAATCTAGTAATTGTCCACAGTAGCACCTTCTAGGCTTGTTGTCAATTTCTGTGCATGTAAATCTCTCTTGAGGTTTTCAAGAAGCAAGAATTCATCTTTTTATAAAACTAAAATAATTTTAAAGTGAAAAAATGTGTTCTGGAGTCCTATCATGCACCAATGAGTTTTTTCATCACCTTAAAAAAAAAAAAACACAACACAAACTTCCACGCTTCTCTGTAACTTCTGCTTTTATTTCAAAAGCCTGTCTTTCAGTTTATTCCTCTGGGACGCATCTTAACAAGATGAATTTTGTTTCATTTTATGTTCTAGTGATGTGTGAGTGCTACAGAAATTTTCTTGTTGGTAAAGAAAAATATCTTTAGTGCTTCACAATAAATGTATTTTAATCTTTTAAAAGTAAAAGGTGTTTTGCATCTGTATTACTGTATCATCTTTTAACTATAGCTATTCTATAGACAACTCATGGAGTAATTCGTTGTTGAAACATTTTTGGTTCCTTCTGCAGTACCTGAAGAAACAAAAGCTCTACGTTCAGGTGGAGCTCTGGAGCTGTTTCTTAAAAATAAAAAACTTAAAAAAAAAATAAAAAAATAAGTGTCCTAGCACTTATTGAACCCAGCCAAAGGACTAGACTTAGCCTACTAAATGTGTTTGAAAAACCAGCATGTTTGTTTAATAATACTAAGCTAGTATGTTTAACAATACTAAGCTAGTTTATGTAACTTAGTATTAATACTGAAAGTGTAATTGAGTTGAGAATTTGTTCACGTTAAGAGAAGCAATCACACATGCTGCACTTCAAGCAGTAAGTCACTTCAGCAAGTATTTGCTGTAAACTTTGATTTTCTTTAACCCATGTGCAAACAAAAATAGTGGTTTGTTCTATTCTGATGCAATTCTCCTCTGCTTGCTATGCTGTAAGCCATTCAGTAGCCTCAGTTTTCAATTTTGTGTTAAAGCTTTAGTCAGGACTAAAAAAAATAATTAAATATTCCATATGATCTATATGGTTCATAAAGATTATGAAATTGCTTTTTGAAATTGAAGCTGTTAAAATGCTACACTGCTTTCATTTAAATGTTCTGGGAGCATTTAAGGTGGGCTACCGCTCTGGATTGTGCTGGTACCTAAGTGTTTCAGAATTGGTCTGACCTGATATACCTATATGGTGTAAAAAAAAAAAGTCTGTTCTGTAAAATAAAACATGAAATGTGGTATTGTTAAATAGAACTGCTAGCTAGCAGCCTGTGCTTTTTGCAGTTTCAAGTGGTATTTCAGGTGAGCTGTAAACTGTTACGAAGAACTTTGCTTTAAAAAAGTAGTAGTCAACAAGTTATAATTGAAGTTCTGTCACTGTTGCATAACTACTGTAATCTTATCCCACCCACATATCATGGGCGGAACTGCAGTTAGAGAACACTAAAATTAAAAAATTGAGGAGGGGGAAGAAAGGAGGGATCTTAAAATTTTGACAAGTTTTAATAATAATTGAAAGCTTCACTAATTAAATAACTGCTTATACCCTGTATGTTTGTATATACTCTGAGAGATGTTGCTGTTGATCTCAAGATACGATATCTTCCAATCAATGGCAATTATCCCTCTCAGCACCTGTAGTCCTATTTAGATGCACACACTGGCATTAGCTCTCATGCTGTATCCACCTCTGGAAGTTGTGGGTAATAAAACCAGCTTGGAACATAGAGTTAGAGCTGCTAATTAAAGGCACCATGAAGGGTGGGAGTAAAAAGCTCACTGTGATGCGTATATCACGTTTCTCCTGAGTTTATCAGCTATTGGTTTTTTAGCTATTGTTTTTCTGGGTGCAAAGTTTTGTTTCTGCAGTGGAAGCAGTCCTAGAATTTGCAACAAGATGTAAGATGATATTCAATGTTGAATGTATGGAAGTGAAATATAGTGGCACTAATTAAATAAATAAAACATAGTCCTGCCGCAGTTACCCTACCTCCAACCCCCAAATGTCAAAAGAAGGAAAAGAAAGTAAACTGTCAAATAGGATTTAAAATACTGAAGTTGGGTAACAGCAACACTGGAACACAGGCAGTTCATAAAATGTTGTGCAACTTTTAAAAATAAAAATACCCTTCAATTATTTAGAAGCAGAATCTGGTGTATCTGTTGATGACTTCCTCAAACTTTAACAGAACCATAGAAAACTATCAGGAAAAGCATATGTGACAAGGTTTCAAAGTATAATAAAATTAATAAAGTAATGTAATAAAATTAATAAAGAAAAATAAAAATTGCAATAAACTGTCTAGCTTGCCATTTTTAAGTGACAATTCTCTCTTCAGCTTTAAATAGCTTTGCTGCAGATTGTCCTGATTATTCTTTTCTGCTCCTTCTTGGTCTTGTTTTCAATGGGAGTTTTGTTTGCAGGATGCTGACAGAGACTTCTTTTCTTCCCAAATAAAGAAGAATTGCAAGACTAACAAGTTATGTCTGTTCCTAACTTTTTTTTTTTAGGCTTTTCACTTGCACAATATTTTTATAAACTCTCGTTATTAAACCTGTCAAAGTATGTTGTCTGTAACCCCATTTTTAAGATAGTATAGAGGATGAGGGTTGTTTAACTGCTTTTTTAAAAGAAATTGACTGTCTTCTCTGTAGCATGTGTTTAGTATGCTAAAGAGATTTAACACACATGAGAGTCTGACAATTTCAATGATTTGAACAACATTCATAAGCTATTGTTTGGATATTTAGGAAAAAAAAAGTATAGTATCTTATATTGAATGTGTTGATTCAACTGCATTTTATAGAATAAAGTAGCACAGCAAAACCGATATATTTGCTATGGAACAGCAAATGCTTCCCTGCACTCTTATCTGCACTGTAAGAAGATAGTTTATGCCACCAGGAACTTTTTCTCCTTTAATTTCAAAAGACTCTATAGGAATTCTTTGACTTGTCAGTTTACTAAAAGTGACTGCTTAAACTGTTTTAAAATTGTATTCTTCTCTCAGTAAGTATGGTGGTTTTTAAAAATTATTTTTATTTTTTAACAGTATTTCAGTCTGTCAAGAAAGAAGATAGTTTACTATACCAGTTTTGACCAGAGGAAACGAGCAAATGCAGCTTTTTTAATAGGTGCATATGCCGTAAGTACTAATTATTGCATGGATACTTCTAACCTTCCTTAAGAAACATCTCTTTTGTGTAAAATAGCATCCCAAGGGATGTTCCCTTAGCGAGGTAGATTGTCATTGGGTTCTTTTATAAGCAATCTTTGAAAATTCTGCTGGATGAGTTCTAGAGAGGCCTTTTCTTTGTCACTTAACTCCATTTACAGTACGGGGAGTGGCTTTGGAACATATCGGGGGGGAGGGAGCACGTAGTGTGTGTACCATGATGTGACTGTGTACGTACTCTATAGTAGGTATCCAGTGGCTCGTCACACGTGAGAGAAGGTAGCTTATGTGTCCGATAAGGTAAACTCGTGTGCCACAACTGCAGGCACGTGTAACACTAGCTTAGCCTGTGTTAAGCTGCTTATAGCTCTTAATTGCTAGCACATGCAAGTGGTCTACATCTGCATATGATACTCTGCTGTCAAAGACTAGCAGATATTGTAAATATCTTCCTATTATTAGAAGATACTCTGTACCAAGAGTAATTCTTTACTAAGACAGTGCTACCAATGCAAAAAAGTATCCATTAACTCTAAACAATGTATATGCAGCATAGTCCCTTTCTAATTTATTTCAGTTTAGTGTGACATTGGAAAACAGTTTGCACAAAGGTATCTATTACTTAAACATTTCATCCCAAAATTGTCTCTATATTTGTGTATTCCTCCAATGGAAGTTCAATTATATTCTTCTATGGTGATCAATAATAATGCCAATAAATTCATAAAATTAATATTTTTCCGAAAAGTAACTTATGATTATAATAATCTGATTATAATTACAATAGTCTGTTTTTTTTTTAAACTACAGAAGCTTAACTTCTGTAATCCAGGCATATTAATTTGGGAAATAACATTAGAGCATTTTACCTCTAGATGCTGTATTCAGTTACATGCATTAGCTGTACACTCGTGAGCTACGTGGTAGGGAAGTTTCTGACCTGAAGGAATCTAGTCATGATCTTCAGTGAAAAGAACAGTTTGTATTTGACAACTTGATCATACTGTTTGATGAATTATTTCATTCAAGGGCTTTTGCGTTTGTGTCTTGTTCTCAATTTCATAAGCTTTTTGAGACAGAAAGTTCCACAGCTTTGAACTCTACCAATATGTGAAAGTTAATTGAGAAAGCTTGCTTTATTTTTCCTGGTGCTAAAATATTAAGTGTAAAATGAAACGTGGAAAATAGTGGATCATGTTTTAGGAATGGGTTTCCAGTAATGATTATGCAACTTAGACTGTTCGCTTAAACAGCTTCTTAGACAAGTTGAACTGAAACACTTGAATAGCTATTAAAATATTTTAGTAAGAGTCATGAGTCTGAGAGAGCTTAAAACTTGATTCACAACAACTCACCTGTTTGTAAATTGCATCTTAGAATGATTTATTTTCTAAATTTTAATTTTTGTAATGGATTTTCAATGTATTTAGTTAATCATGTCCAGTTGCTAAATTCATATCCTTGCTCTGAAGAATTCTGCAAGGACTACATCTGTCATAAAACTAAGATTAAGGTTAAAACAACAACAACAAACATTTAAAACAGGAATAGAAGAACATGAAGATTTTGCTGATCTTACAGAGAATTTCAGCATTTCTCCTAAATTGCTGGGACTACTACACAGAATGTTCTGTGAAGTCAGAAGGGACTACAGGAACTCCCCACTTGTCATTAAAGAGCACATTCTTTGCAAAATCATGAAGGAGGGTGCATATTCTCATGTCTAATAATGTATGGATGAGTTGGGGGGTGGAGCGGGGGACAGATGCCACTTTGCATAACGTTAAGGTATTCATCAGGTTTCTCTTCTGGTTGGGGTGGGGAAAAAAAGGCCCCAACTTGTCTGTGTTCTCCAGTATCTAATAGCTTGCTCTGGGAGAAGAATAGGAGTAATACTAGTCTGTATCCTTAGAGCTGGCAAGTAGTGGGCATCTTGCAATTCTAAGATCAGAACTTGATTAGTGGACCAAAGTCTGACTTGAGTAGTTTTGGTGAAACGCAATACTTACTCTGACAAGCTCTGAAAAGAGATCCACTAAGCTCTTTTTCCTTTTCCGTGTAGACAGCAGATGGGCTGGTCGTATTGCTTTCTCATGATGACTTTGTGTGTATTTTGGTACCAATAGCTTTTATTAGACTTCTGTAATGCTAGTGCAAGGGAAAAGCTGTTGAGTTTTTTGGGTCTTAAGTGTTATCAAAGCAAGTGAGACTGAGTAATAGTGAACTACTAAAGCATGTTCAATCACTTGCCTGCCGGATTTTTTTTCATAATGTAAGAATATAAATTAGATTTCTGAGCCCAGCCTGCAGCTTTATGGGTTCATTCTCTATTAATCTAAGCACATCCCAGTACTGCTCAAGTCAGTAATCCCTCCCTTGGAAGGTCAGCAAGTACAAAGGCTTTTCAGCTATTGCACCATGTACAGCTTCTTTGCAGTTCCAAACAACACCTCAAATTGCTTTACATTTGCTTCACAGAATTCTTGTGATAACTTAACAGCAATAGAATAGATCTGTTCATATGCTTTTAATTTGAAAATGTATGTTGGGGGTGTGAACAAGATGAAATGAAATTGTATTTGTAATTACAGTGGATGAATGCTAAGGTGGACTTGCAAAATACCCTTTTTGTTTCATAAGCGCTTTGGAACATACATTATACATTTTCTTGGCAGTGTGCATGTGGCCAGTATTGCTACACATAATGTGCCTAGCGGGAATATGTCCCAATAGAGAAGAGCTTTTTCTTCAATTGCATGATTATTCAGGAAGTTCAGAACATAAGAATGGACATATCAAAGGGGAAAAAAAATGCTAGAAAACTTGTAATATTTCAGACTGTTTTTTACAGGTAGCAGTGCCTCTGTATGATGTGTGTTAAGAGAAGTGACGCGGTGGGAACAGGGGATGAACCTATTGTAAAATCTCTCTTGAAGAGAATTAAAAGTGGCTTTACAGGGGGAAAAACACAAAACAACTATTGTTATTTTGCATTGATCTTTTGAAAGTATATTAGTTTACGTAGAGGGTTTTGTCCCAGAGTTACACTAATAGTTCAAAGTAGTGAAATCTGTGATAGTCGGACAAGGATGAACTCGGACCTTCTTTTCACTGCATCACCACAGTTTTTCAGACTAAAGCAAAACAGTTTTTTTTTTTTCCCTTTTCTGTCTCCCTTGTCCATGCTTGAGTAAGAAAAGCAAGCAAATCTACCTACTGTTTTGACATCTTACAGAGTACTGAGAATTCCGTTACCTTGATACAACTCCAGGCATAAAGCAACTTGCAGAGATTCTGGGAGTGACCACCACTTACTTCTGTTCCAATGTGCTTAAGGTCTGAAGTTGAATGCTAAAGCTTTTAGATCAGGACCTTTGTCTTGGTTAAGAAAACAATCATTGGTGCTCAGTATTCAGCGGTAAAATGTGCATAGAATGAAGGAGTAGCCATGTAGGTGCTGTCTGTAAGGTGAGTTGGATAGTAACGGATAGGAAAGCTGTGCTGCTTTGTTCACAAAATATTTGCACATGCAAAATGTGTCACTCCAAACTGGCTGAGATATCTATAAATAATGCACATAACACAAATTCAAAGCTGGTTTTACTTTAGGAGCAGTTGTACTGCACAAATAGGATTTGAATTGCAACAAGGTGGTGTCTTCTTATTTCTTACTGTGATGTTTCTGGTTTCTTACTCTGCTGTTAAACCAGTGGAACTGCTGGCCTTCAATGATATCAGAATAAGCCTTGGTTTAGTGTGCTGTGTTAACTATAGGCTGCTCTCATAGTCACAGGTTCAGCTTGCTGAATTGGACATCTTGTTTGCTAATGGGTAATTTGATACTGACAATTGGGAATCGGAAAATGTTCATGTATAGAAAGTTTCAACTGAGCTTTGATGGAGAAATGTTTCCTTTGTCAGCTGCTACCATAGTACTTCTGTTGAATCATCTGAAGTTGGGCAGAGTACTCCTCGTATAGATGACTGCTTATCATCACAGATAACACAATAGAAATCCCAGTTTATTTATTCTTTTTGTTGATTTCTGAAGCTTTTGTGTTATGTAGGTTTGTCTTCTCTGGTCTGCAGATGGCCTATGAGCTGCTTGTAAAGGAGTATGGAATATTTGGAAGAGTAGTGGTTTGAGGGAAGCATATAAATGGGTAATGACTTTTCAGGATCAGCTGTGGTTATTTTTTTTTCTTTCCCTCCATCTTCATTCTCTTCTCTCCCCTGCTTTAGGTAATATACTTAAAGAAAACACCAGAGGAAGTGTACAGGACACTTTCGTCTGGAACTAATCCACCATATCTTCCGTTTAGGTATGTGAACATGAAAAATGGGTCTAACTTTTGCTTTTGGAATTTGCTAAACATACTTTTTATTTCAGATTCCTCTCCCTTCCCAGAAAATGGTTTCGTGTCTGATACAGACATTATTTCAAAATGGTTGATATACAGAAAAAGAAATGACTTCTGGTAAAATCACTTGCGCTGTGTGGGAATAATGAAACTATTTATATTGGCCATCTTAAAACTAAAATCAATCTTGCAAACTTTCAGGTTTAGAAAATACCTGTTAGCATGTGCGTGGTTTAGCAATTAAAACTTTTCTTTATGATATATCATGATTTACCATTTGGAAGCCATTCTTACCTTTTGTATTACTTAATACCTAACCAGCTAGACTTACGTGAATGAAAGTTTTTGTTTTGTTTTCTGTTATATTTTCTGCTTTACAGAGTAACTATAGAAGTTCAAATTAAGCTATTTTGCCTTTCTGTTTTCAATGAACAGCTAATTTTAACTATCTGACCATATTCCCTATAGCAAGGTAGTATGGAGGCCGAGATCTGAGGGCATTTAGCTATTATGTCTGTCTAAAAGACTTTGAGATAATTTTTTTTTGTTGTGTGAGCCATGAAATGTCATTGTGCTTTACAAGTAAAAGTACCTCATGCTATTATGCAAATACAGGCAATATCTCATAGGACAACTGCAAGAAGGTCAAGATCCACTTTTCTAGGGGAGTCAGCAATTAGCAAGTAGTGCTCGCTGTCAGCTGATGCATTTGTAAATGCGGAGCTACCTTGTCTTTATCAAATGCTTCATTTGATTCTACAGGCACTCAACAAAGGAAGATCTGTTTATCTCTAGTGGTTTGTACAGGGTAATAGATTTAGGGATGATAGATTTATATGTCAACACCAGTTTAACTATAAAATCTTAAGCCAATGAATACATTTTAAAGAACAGTATCCTATCAGTGATTGCTTTTGTCAGCAGAGAGTTTATAGATTGATCTGATCATTGGTAGCTATGCGAGGTTATTGATATATTTAACTTTTAAGCTAATTAAAAAAAATACTTAATAAAATGCATAAAAAGATGACCTCTTATGAACATGTCAGTGTCTTTTTGTTTAACATCTATGAATTCTATATAAAGTACAGGAATGATGATTTAAGTTAGTGTATAGTTTTTCTACACCTTTTACATGTGTTGTTTTCTGATGCTCTCCTAATCTAACAGAGTTGCGTCAGTCCCTCCATTTACAGAAGGTTCAGCTATTAGAATATTACTCCAAGAAGTTATTTGGAGCAAACTATATTATTCTCAGCACAGAAACAGTGTCAATTTTTTCTTTTGTCTCCTTATTTTGGGGAAAGCAACAAGTAAAAATCTTCACTGCAATATTTCCCTTCCTTCTGGGGATTACTCTGTAGCATTTAAAAGGAGTCTAGAAAATCAACTCTTCCTTTCCTATCTAATAGAGTTGTCTCAGTGGTTCAACTTTGGCAGGAGATTAAGAAAAACTGAATGCTATTTCTTTCATATAAGAGTTTTTAATAATTAAACCAACCTAATTTTTTTCAAAATCTTGAGCTTCTTGAAACCGTGCTTAAAAAGCAAACTGTATGTAGTAGAGATGCAAAACTTTTTCAGTAATGTAGAATGTGTTATCTCAGAATAGCTGTATTTTGTTTAGCTATTCCAAAAACTTTACCGTTCAGAATTATACGAAATTGCTATGTCTTTAGGTTCCTTCCCCACTTCTTCCCCTGCTACAGTAAAAATTAAGGTATTATTTGTACTGACAAAGCAAAAAGCTTAGTTATCAAGTACTGAAATTGTAAAATGGAAAATTGAGGAGGAATTTTTTTTCAGAATTTTTTGTTCAAACTGAAGGCTACAGACTTCTGTCTTGCAACCAATCCCTTTGAATGATACATGTAGTAATAAGTTATTAAAATGCTGTTTCTCCTTTGCTGGTAGGGAATAGTGAAAATAATGTGACTTTTTTGAGGCTGGCAAGAACCATAATAACAAACTAAATGGCACAGAATAATTTTGTTAAATAATTATTTAATTTTAATAATGAAGTTAACACAATTGTGTTAACAACTAATATTGAAATTAATAAATATGCATTCAGAACAAATCCTGTGAGTCTGAATTAATGAGATTCTATTCCAAAATAGAATAGGGATCATGAAATGAGAGTTTGTAAAATAAATAAATAAATAAATAAAATATAAATAAATAAATAAATAAAAATAAAAAAAAAGTAAGAAACAGCAAGATTTTGTAAAGATAGCTTTGTAGTATATAAAAAGAGAGAATACAAACTGAACGCACTGGAGAAGTCAATGTCTGGCAAAGAGGCTACTCAGCGTTTGCAGTCTGAATTGTCAAAATTATTGCAGAAGAGTAATCCGTTCATCAGTTTGCCAGCTTCAGGAGAGGAGAACAGTAAATGTTGTCAGTCTTCTGATGCTTAACTCTTCTGCAGGTTCCTGGTAGATAAATGGTGGTGTCAAACTTCTTTAAAGTAATGGATGCTATCCGTATTTCCAAATCTGTCTTCCAAATCTATCCAGAGTGTTATGTATGGATTGTTGTAACCCATTTGTGAGAATTCATGAATTTTGTGAAGATAGGCTTCTGGGACATAGTCTCACTGTAAAAGAAATGTAAAATCTTTTCCCTTTTCTAAAGGGAAAAAAAAAAAGTACCTCTGTCCTAATGTAGATATTAAATTCTATTATCTTGTCCTTAATTAGCTTTCTCTTCATGTTCTCCAGAGCTAACACCAAAAAACATAAAACATGCAGCAGGCATATGCTGCAAGTGAAAAGATCTTTGGTAAATAAAACCAGTATGCATAAAATAATGCTATTTTTCACATCAATCATCTAGCTAGATGTGAAAATATCTTTAACCACTATAGTAATAGAATGCTAAATTTAATTATACATAAACCAGAAAGAAGAGGGTATATCAGTATACCCTACTAGGTGAAAACCTAGGCAAACAATTTCAAGAATGTACAACAGAGAAATCTTTAAAATTGCTAGCTATACTCTAATACACTTAGATTTACCCTGTACTCTGCTGATAAACAGGTTCTCTGAGCAGTAGTTTGCTATCAGGTTGTTGCTTCTAAGGTAGGCTGTACGCCAATGTCCTAACATTTTCTTAAGCTTTTTAACTGTGTTAATTGTGGCGAACATGGCTAATTCGGACATTATTATCCTAATCCATGACTCTTGGTAGAACAAAACACCTCTTGTTCCATATTCAGAGGAAATCTGTAGCATAACTTAAATTGCTCATTAAAGTTGAAATCATTCTGTACTGTTGATTTTTCTACAGGAGGAAGGGCAAATGTTCTAATTTCCACCGATGCTCTTAAGCTTCTTAGAACTTACTTGTCACTGTTGTGACTTTTCACTGCATTATTTTACTTCATCCTAACCACATTCAAATGAAGAAGTATATTCTAGAGTCGAAGAAATTCAGTCAGGTGATCTCCCTTGAGGTTATTCCTGCAGCTAATACCAGTCAAAAGAAATCTCAAAATATGTGTGGAATGGCTATGTTAGCGAACTGTTTACTGAAGAAGTAAACTTTTTTTCTTTAAGCTCTAGAGTTAATGTGTATGTAGCTTTTTGATGTATATAAAATAGGTCTTAATTCCACTTTACTTTTCTTACATTCAGTTGCTTTTGCTATCCGTAAAACACGTTGGTTAAAAGTAAAGCTTTTGGGGGAGGTTATGGATTTTTCTGATAATTTTTTTTTGTTTTCCTTTCTTCTGGTATATTTTCTGTAGTTTGGTTTACTATTATTTTTTTTGTTTTAACACAGCATTTAGGCTATTTTCTAGGATAGAAGGAGTCAATCTTCTTGAGCCAGGGCCTTGCTCTCCAGAGGGAATAGGGAATTCTGAGCTTTTGGAAGAAAGCTTTTATATGTTAGTAGACATAAGCATCTAGATTTCTTTAGCATTTTTTCTTAATTTGGTGTCAGGCTGAAAAGCACTTCAGTTTCTTTTGGTGCTGCTTTAGACTATGTAAGGTCTTGGCACTGGATTAGAGCCTAAGAAGATTCTGTTACCTGTGTGGTATAGTTTATCATGCTGGTAAAGAAAACTGTGTAATCTAGCTGTACAGGAGGTGAGAAAAAGAAGACAGGAGATGAACTAAAGGAGTCTGATAAGATAGGAAGCCGAGTAAGAAATGAGGAGTCAAAGTTAGAGAGGAGGTACTTGGGATTTGAATTTGTAGGGAGAGGCTGGAATAGATGTATAAGAAGCTTAAGAATTACTGGGGTTGAGAGAAGGGCAAGTAGAGCTGATGAGGGCCTGCAGTGGGTCAACCTATATCAGATGGGATCAGGGAATAAATAAGTTATTTCTTCTTCCCTGTTTTTTACAAATAACTTATTTCTTCTTCCCTGTGTTTTTTTTTTTTGAGATGATTTTCTTCTACCTGTATGTTGTAAGACATTGAGGCATCTCTAGTGCAAAATACAGCATGATACAGAAGCTCAAGCAAATGAACCTGTTTTGTCACTGGAAGCATTAATGCCATGTTAGGCACCATATCTGGTTGTCATCAGGCTATGCGATGAAAAAACAAGTTAGTGCTATCAGGAAGTTTGCCCTCCCTCCATATAGTTAACATTTTAAAAAGGGCTAAAACTACTTTATCAAATGACAATGGAAATATAACCCAAATGTCTTGTGCCTTCCCTCCTATTCTAAGGTCTAGGAAGGAAGTACTTTGGGATATTACTCACAGGTATTCAGTAGTTACTGTCTTGAATTTAATTTTTTTCAAGCCTGGAACCTAGATACTATATAACTTCTGTAGTACAGGGTATCTCTGTTTGAATAGTTTCAAGTGTAAGAGGTTATCGGGGTGTAGTGATCAAAGGTTCAGCGTTACAGCTAGATTATTTAACAAGTTTGTTAATTTGATATCTGAAGTGTCTTCTATTTGGGGAAAAAAACAACAGACAACTTTCAATAGGTAGAA